TATTTGCCCTCTACCAGACTCCTGCACCCCACTGGTCTGGGTCTGTCACAATAGTAATAAGTTCAATAACAGATTTGCAGACCTTTGACATCTCTACTTAAAAATGACCTGACAACTTTCCAACAACTGCTGAAAAGTGCTTTTTTGAAATGTTCTTTATAAAATAGGCCCCTCCCATATGATTTCATATTGTAAAGTTTGTTTTTAAGTTTAAACTAATATTTACTGAAACTTCTGTTTCTATTTGACATCGACTCCGCTTATGCATAATATGTGTCTCTTACTTTACTAATCACTTCCTTATCTGGGCAATGTGAAACCAAGTCTTGGCATGATTTTCCTAGTTTTGTGGCTGTGTTTTATAATCAGTTGAATTACTTTTTAAAATGTTAGCCACATTAATTTCTTTGTATGCTGTGGCTTTCGGAACAGTTTAAAGAGCAGGATGCATCATTGTAGCTGGAATTGATTTCTTGATTTAAACACTGCAAATAAAAAAAGTTGGGGCATATTTTTGAAAGTTAGGTTAATGCAAATATCAAGTATTTAATCAGGTAACTGTTTAAATAGGTTGTTTTCTCATAGATATCCCAGATTAATCCATACAGGGAAATACAACAAGAAAATCCAGGGTGGTTTTTTGAGCTGTGGAGGCTTGGCCCGTGCAACATGTGGGGAAGGGGACCCCGAGTGGCTGCAACTTACAACTCCCAGGTTCAGGTCGGCGCCGCGGAGGTTTCCTGCCAAGCCAGCCAGACGGCGATGGTCACGAACATTTCCTGGGAACCCCACTCTGCCGGGTGGCCACAGTCCACAGCAGCATCCCTCCTAGTCCTGCGCCGCCTGCCGCTGCCGCTCCCAGGGCAGGAGCCAACGCCGGCTCTGGTGATCTGCGGGGGACAGAGACGGCGGGCGGCATCCGAGCGCGCAGCCGCCTCCTCCCTGGACTCCAACTTTCCCGGCTCCCTGAACCGCGGGGCCCGAAGCAACCTCCCCCCCCCCCCGACTCCCAGCTCCGGCTGCTGCTGCGCGGGGGAAGCGCACGGCCGGGGGCGCATGGGCTGGAGAGTGGCGGGAGCCGGGAAAGTTGGAGCCCGGGGAGGAGGCGGCTGTGCGCTCAGATGCTGCCCGCCGCCTCTGTGCCCCCGTAGATCGCCGGATCCCTCCAGGAGGGGTGGTGGCGGAGCGGCTCACACTCCCGGGAGCCGCAGAGCCCGAGCGCAGCGAGGGCAGAGCCGGGGGGCGCATGGGGGCCGCTGCCCGCATGCATCTGTTGCAGACTGCAGGAGCCCCGGGGGGGGAGGAAGCGCCGGGCCGCAGCCTGGCCA